TAGAACTTCCTGTATATTTTCAAATTTCCTGATTCAGCTTGGCATGAGTTTCTCGAAAATATATAACACTCTATATTTATTTTCACTATTAACCTCAACATTTCAATTTTTTCTTAAAATATCCAGTTAATAGTAGGCCGCGCCGAGTATCTAACAAAATAAACGGTAGTCATGGTGATCGGAACATACCTTTGATGGATGCGTGACATTTCATTTCAACAGATTGAAGTGTGTGTATTTTAAATAATAAAAAAATGAGTAAATTTGTAAATTTTGAGAGATATAATATGTTAGAATGTTATATTGAGTCTAACAAACATAAGCAAATGGCAGCTGATTTATATTTTGAGTGGTATCCTGACCGCGAGCAACCAAACCCAGCCATTTTTAAAAGATCAGAAAACAGTCTAATCCTAGCCACCTAGGTTACCTAATATCACTCCCTTGGACTTCTTTCTCTGGGTCTTTCTGAAAAACGAAATTTATCGAAATGCAAATAGAACATTAGAAGAGTTACAATAAGATAGTTTTGTTGTCTCTTTGCAAATTGTAACCAATATACACATTCGAAATGCTGTTAGCGGCGGCGTGCGGAGACGATGCCAACTCTGTCTAGATAATAATGGGCAGCAGTTTTGAACATTTAATGTAGTCTTTGTGTTTTTCTTTTTTTATATTAACTGAGAAGCCCGATTGAAGTAACCTGTTGAGTTTGTATTAAAATATGTTCTTTTGTTTCTGTCACACTTATTATTTATTTGCTTCGTATTGTTCGAATTTATTTAATTGCTAATACATAGATTAATTTGAAAGTAGATATTCGCTTGTTTCCTTTAATACTCGGCATGACCTACCAAGAGGAAAGTCGATATCTTTAAATAAATTGGAATTTTAAAGTTAATAGTGATAATAAATATATAGTGTTATATATTTTCGAGAAGCCCATGCCAAACTGAATCAGAAAATTTAAAAATATACAGGGGGTTGTATTTAAAAAAAAACATAAGTATAGTTAATTTCTAAAAAAATACCTTTTTCGAAAAAAGTCTGACTACGCCACTGTATTCTACACAGAAAAGTGCCTTTAGAATGTTTAATTTATTTTTCCGTAGTTGCTGAAATAAACAAACTATCGAATATCTTTAAAAAGTACAAAATTTGAGAATCCCCCTGTAGCTTCGAAACCGATCAAGATAGCCACGATCCATTTGCGCCATTGTGATTTTTTCAAAAAAAGAACCCGAGACTGCAGTATCAAAATTTGAATATTTCTCACGGTTTCCTAGATACTCTATAGAAACAACCAAAATGGTCCACCCTGTATATTAGTATAGTTAGAAATATTTAAAAACGTGTAGTCCTCCATTACAGTCTACCGGCGGCGCCCAGTGTTCAAAATTGATGAAAACTTGATCAAAATTGATTACGTGCACGCTGTAAACCCTATTGCGCCAATTTAAACGACTTTTTCGTTAATAATTTTTGACAGGTTTTATTGCAAATAGTCTATAGCAGTCATATATCAATTATAATAGTATAAAAACTAATCATCCGAATCCTCATATTGTTCTCGCCCATCATTATCTTCATTGTTATTATGCTCATCAATTTTGAGTTCATGTTTCTCCTCCTTTGTAAGGTCCAGCAAAGGAAGCATGCTTTGGTCTATTTTCCTATGAACTTTTTTGGAGAAATGAAATGAACTCAGGAGTGGATCCGAGCTCAATATGAGTCTTTTGAACAAATCCTCATTAATTTTAGGAGGGCTGATTTTTGTTATGTGAACATTTCAGAATTTTAGTTGCTCTTGTGGGCATGGTCATAGTTGCCTCTGTTACCAATTTTGAAGCAGAGACGTTTCCCTCTTCACGCAATTTCTGGACTCAGCAAATGATAACCTGGCTGCTGTATTTTGCCGTCTATTTTTTCAGTCTTTCTACGTTTACTAACGTCCGAACTTTCTACAAATGTTTTTGACGACCGACCTGCTATAATAATATAAAATGTTAGAATTTATCCCTATAGATAAATAATTATTTTGCATATTTACCTCCACTTGTAGATGCAGAATAATCAGGAACCGTAAGTTGCCGTTGACAATGAAACACTTCATCGGGAAAAATAACATCAACCTGTATAGCCAATCTGCATACCTAGACAAGAAATTTCTGTCTTTCCTCCGAGCAGTTTTCTATTTTGTTAAATATTACGGAAAAAACGATTGCCTCATGAAGTTATTGAGAGCGTTAGTTGCAATTTCATCTCCGTTTGTTTCAAAATGATCTTTTAAAAAGTCCAAAACATGAATTTTCTTCACAGAGAAATCTTGGCCAGGTATTTCCATCATTTTCTCATGTAGATGCAGAAGTGTAATTGCCATCATGAATAAATGCCAAAAATAAACCCACACACTTTAAAACAATATATTTGTTGACTTACAACACCGCAAAATAACACAAACTAAACTTATGACTACACTGAACACCATATAATAAAAAACTAAATATTGGCCGCCCGGCCGCGTGTAAACATGTTTAGAACTCAGCGCAAATTAATCCGAATTGCAGCCTGATGCGCACCTTTGCGCAGGTAAAACAAAATGTTCCTAAATTCCTTAGACTATAGGCTTTTATGTAATGTATAATTTATTGATGAGCAAGGACTAGCAATAAACATAAAAGACCAATAAAATGGCATTTCTTCAAAAACTGTATTGGGTTATAGGCAGCGAATTATGCCTGAAAGGAAAAGCGACCTTCATTATAGTATTTAGGTTATTTAAATCCTTAAAATTAGCGATGGGAACTATCGAATGAATTAGACTATGGAATGGTTAATGAATGAATGATTTCAACTATCGAATGGTTTTATTCGAATAAAATCATTCATTCATTTGTATACTAAAGCATATGTGACAACCTCGCCGTGCGACTAAATGGTTATCGTTGAGTCACGACTATCGAATGCTTTTGATAAATGAAAAATGAAATTTAGTATTCGTTTGATTTTTGTATGCGTCAGTGCATTATTAGTTCTTCCAAATTTTTATAACTTCGCCGTATAAATACTGTGCTATTTTTGCGTTTATTAAAATAGTTAAAATACTAAAATAGTAGTTATTTTTTAATTTTATTTATTGACGATTGTGTGCATGTGCAGGTGGTCAAAATTTTTCCGAAAATTTGTATGGTTTTCCGTAGTCCGATCTTTCAATTATTTAATTTTATATGGTATATGGTCTATTTTTTAATGGGAAATTTTGAGAAGTAGCAATTTTTAAGAGATGAGATGAACTTACAATTAATTTAAAAATACATATTTGTATTTTAGATGTTTTAATAATATGAATTAGTTGAACTTAATAATCATATTTAAGTAATGTGGTTGTATAATCATATTTAAGTAAATGGTTATCGAACTCAAACTATGGGGTGAGAAAATTAAAACGAAAGTTTTACACGTGCCAATTTAAAAAAAGTTAACGATGTTTGTATTTTGTTTATGCTAATTCTCTTACATGTAGTTTTTAAAAAATATTTCATTTATTTTTTAAAGTAAATGCCAGTAAAAGTAAATATAATTTTTAAATAGTAATATAAAGCACCTAATATAAATAATTTTGATTTCTAATTTTTTATTTATATTTTCCTTCCATTACACTGCATGCTTAGAAAATTAATAAATGTTTATATTTCATGATTTTAAAATTTGTTGTTAATATAACAAATTAGTTCTGTAATTATTATTATTTAATAAACCAACGTTGCCACAAAAAATTTAGAGACTATATTATTTTTAAATAGGATCTAATATAAATAATTTTGACATCTAATTTGTTGTTTATATTTTGCTACTACTTAAAAGAAAATATTTATATTAAATGATTTTAAATTTTGTTGTTAATAGGTATAACAAATTATTACTGTTATTATTATTTATTAAACCCGTCTTTGCTAAAAAACATTAAAAATAATTTTCCTACATCCAAAATAACAAGTAATATTGCAGTGTAACAACAGAATATTAATAAAAAAAATAATTAACTAAAGCCAAAAAATAATATTCTTTGCTAATATCAACTAATACCAAAATATGGCAACAGCGCCTTTCATAATTTATAATTGTATTTTCTGTGTAAATACTAGCACCTCAATAAAAAAAATAATGTGTCCTTATCTATATCTGACTCCGCAAAAAATCAAAGATGCCGGCTTCTTTCATAGCATTGCCACCGACCGCTGTCGGGTTTCTCGGAAAGAAACCTACGTCGCCGGGCGACAACTAAAATTCAGTTAATATTTTATTATAATCGATCCTGACGAATGAATGAATTTCATAAATGAATGAATTTCATAAATGAATGAATTTTATAAATGAATGGTTTTTGCTGCCGAATTACTAGAATACAATATTTCAAGGCAGATGACGGATCTATTCGATAATTTTTATTCGAATAGTTTTCAACGAATGTTTTCTTACTAACTATCGAATTATTCGAATGAATTGCAACTATCGAATGTTTCGATTGTATTCATTCGATAGTTCCCACTACTACTTAAAATATGTACTTTTTTCTGATATAATTACATTTCCATAAATAATTTGACTTGCAGCGGCTAAAAAAGAAAACATTTTAATGCCAAAATATGCTGTATAAAATTATTATTATTTTTTTAGCTTTTGCTCATAAAGATATTCAGTCATGATAAAGCCATTAAAGCAATGCTTGGTTAAAAGTTGTAAAATGAGGTAAAGAAACATATACGTTAATTTGACGATTCTCAAATAAACTAAAAATTTTCAATTTCGATCGGTTTTTTGCAAATTTTGAACACTGTGCGGCGGCGTATAGAGCAGGTTGGCTCTGCACAATAGTACAGATAGTAATTACGCATCCGGGGACATAGTAGACAGTTTAAAAGTAGGTTGATAAAAAATTGAAAAATACCGGTTTTCTGGTCATAGTCAATAATTACAAATAAAAAAAAAAATAAGTATACCTATATTTACGCCTGTTTTCTTCGGTGTTCTCCACTCCGATGTCGGTCAACCGCTTTCCCATAGTCGAAACCGATTCATCGGCGGCCAAAATACCTTTTCCCGGGGCCACGATGGCGTTGGCGATTTTGCGGAGCTCATCTTGGAGAGCTGGGTCGGGGTAGTTCCAGTGAGTAGTCATTTTGGATAATGGTTGAGGTAAACTGTAAGAAAAAAAAAATGTTGATATAACAAATTAAAAACAGAAATTTCTTCTTAGATTTACTTAAACTTACGTAGGTGCTGCAAGACTGTTTATAACTAACGTTTAGTACCTCAATTTTGTTTATTTCGAACTAATCTTATCTAACAGAGGTCACAGGCTTTCACCAATGACAGATAAACAATGTATGTTCAAACAAACATATTATTGAGCCATACACATGTTTTTCTTTCAGGGAACGGATATAGGGCTTAAGCTCCGTCTACACATAACGTTTAACCTGTCGGGTAAAACGGAAAACCGTCTAGAAAACTGACGGCAGTTTCAAGACGTTCGTCCGTCTTAGCCTCGTCTACATACAGCGTGTTTCAAAAAACATGTGTCATTTCTCATGTGCAGATTCGTACGTAAAAATAAGATTTATTTTTTATATCAACGTAGGTCCGACTCTGCTTTGTTTCGTAGCTACAGGGTGTTAAAAGTCCTAATAATCTTTCGAATTATTATAGTTTTCTTTCAAGTACTTTTAGTGATTTGAATCAAATTTTGAGGGTAAAAGGTGCTATAAGTGCTATATATTTTAATACTAAAAATGTGCCTATAGATTTTTCAGGGAATATGGGTTATCACTGTTATATTTTTCAAAAAAAAACATGTGCGCCACTGACTTTTTACTTTTGATATCAAAATTGTGTAGGCCGTTTAATGCCAATTAAAAGTTATCTCTTGATATTTTGGCGAATTCGGCCTCCTTGATCAGATAAATGCTATTTTATTAATCACAATTAATAAAATAAAAATAAAATTAATAAATTATATATTCTACCTAATTTATTATTAAATATTATTACTATTAGTCCAACAATCAAGGGTCCAACCTACAGCAATTTCAAATAAAAAAAATGGCGCCGGGAGGCACGCATAGCCGCCCATACTAAAATATGTTAATATCTCGAAAACTGCGACTTTGACTGATTTTGATGTTATTACAAATTTTGTTGCAAATATTATTCCTAATCTTAATTTGAAAACCGCGTTTCGCTAGCTACTGTAATTTTGGAGTTACGATTTTTTAAAATTTTTCACCCTCTCCCATACCCCCTTACCAACCCCTCACCCCCACCAAAAACTAATAGCCAGATTCTCGGGTGCCACAGTATTTTTGTGCCAAATTTGGTTAAAATCGGTTCAGCGGTTTTTGAGTTATCGTGTTACAGACGGACAGACGGACAGACAGACAGACAGACACCATGAAAATATTTTGTATTTAGGTCATTTATGACCCAAGTAACTCATTTTGAGTGAAATTAAAAAAACTTTTTTTTGCCTTGGTTTTATCAATTATTATCATAGTGTTTAAATTTTATTTGCAAGCTAAGCAAAGCTAATAATTGTTAACATAGTATCGTTGGGTAATAACCACCAGATATACCTTTAAACAATTTTGTAAAATTACAATGACATTATTCTGTGAAACTATGCAAAAATATTAGATTTTTTAAAAGTAGCTTATTAAAAATGCTGTAATATATCCATACAACTTTCTGTAAATTTACTTATATATTTTTCTTTGTAGGCAAAGCGATAATTTTGTTGTAAAACTAAATAATCTCCCGGTAGTCCTCTAGACGGCCTTCCGTCTTAATTCATTCCAAGTAAAATATCCGAATTTTTTTTCGTACACACAAGTTTTGACACACTTCATTCATTTTGACTGAACAGGTAGGACCGAAAGGTAAAACGTTATGTGTAGACGAGGCTTTAACAAATTTATTTCAACAATAAATATAGAGTTAACTTATCGTAAAAAATATGTACTAAAAATAGAAATAACTCAAGTAACAAAACATTGATTTACTGTTTTTAATTGCTTCAAATGACTATTATGATGCACAGGGTACGGAATCAGAATCTTTATTGCAACTTTTTAACAAAAGTGTGTATTTTTATTAAAAATCTGTTTTCTGCAAAATATTGAGAATAATATGACTACTATTTAAAATTTAACAGGACGAAAAAAAATAAACTACCGATTATTGAACATAACAAACAAACCACAATTATTAGATTGTAATATTGATATTTGATAAATAAGAGGAGAAGTATAAATTTACTTAATATGTATTTTGTAATAAGTTTTTCCATCAATATAGAAATAAACAAAACTGTGATGTATTATAGATAAACAAGGATTATAGAATAGTATAAAATATTTGTAATTATTGTAATAATAATTGAAGACTGGAAGTCAATAATGTGCTGTGTGCAAAAAAATGGTTTATGGGGGTAATTTTCACTCTTTCCGTACTTTTTCTTGATTATGTGTAAGTCAAATGTTAAAGCCAGTGGTGCATATACGGGAGGGGTAATGGGGGTAATTACCCCTCCCAAGAAGAAATTTATGAATAAGAGAAAATGTGTTATACAATAAAATTGTCTCAAAAAAAGTTAATAATACCAATCAAAATAGAGAATCCAAACCAATTATGTAAAAAAAGTATATTTCTTTCCACAGTCACAATACCTTTCAGGGAAAATATAATTTAAATTTAGTACTTTATTTAAATATTGTCACTACCCTTCCCAGACTCAATCTCTAGATGCGCCACTGGTAGCAAAACATAAGACACCCAAAATTTCATTCAAATCGGAATAACGGTTCTTAAATATCTGAAAAAATGTGTTTATTTTTTTGTGTTTGATGCCCTCTCCCTGACAAACGAAGCATTTTTGTATAGAGGTAAATTGTGACCAATGAACTAATTTTGATTCCAAAAATACGTAGTAGTCGTATTTCCACGGAACATTGGCACCCTGTATAAAGCAGTGAAAACACCAAGAAGCAATCCTAACAGACGATAACGAGATAATTCTAGGAGTAAAGGCTAAGTTTGCGAGATGGAAAGAATATATCGAAACACTTTTTAATGATGAGAGACCTTGCTCCCCACCACCGATAGATCAGATACTGAATGAAAAGGCTGCAGCAATAACCAAAGACGAAGTTGTTCATGCAATAAAAACAGAGAAAAGAGGAAAAGCCCCGATAAAATAAACGTTGATATATTTAAGCAGATAACTTCTATAGGGTGGCTCAAAAAAGTGTGAGTGGACCTGGATGATTTTTTTTAAACGGAAGACCCTGTATATTATTGCATTTTTGGATTCCTTTCAGATCACTTTACATAACCCTAAGATATGAATAAATATATTTCGATAGTATCAGAGATATTAAAAAATAAATCAAAAATGTATATTTTTCAGCCCTTTTTAAAAGAATTATTAAAAATACAAGAACTGTTTTGAAATCAAAACTATATTAGGTATTTACTTTAGATGGTCTGTTCTTACTTTGCTATAAATATGGTAATCGTAAATCATACAGGATGTTCAATATTCTACGCCAAACTTTCTAAAATATAAAATATTTTTTCTTTGTTTTTTTAAATGGAACACCCTGTATATTATTTTTTTATTAGACGGAGACTTAAAAAATGAACATTTTTTGTATTTAGAGTATTTCAAAATTTTTAATAGTTTCGCAGATACACGCAGTATTATTTCATATGGTAAAATACGAGAGAAAAATCATTGGGTGGCTTTGATAAAAATTTACTGTGGAAAATGCCATATGAAATATAAAACTGCAAATATCTGCGAAACCGTTAAAAATTTTGAAATACTCTAAATACAAAAAATGTTCATTTTTTAATTCTCCGTCTATTGATAAAATAATATACAGGGTGTTCCATTGAAAAAACGAAGAAAAATTGTTTTATATTTTAGAAAGTTTGGTGTAGAATTTTGAACATCCTGTATAATTTACGATTTTCATATTTATAGCAAAGTAAGTGCAGACTATCTAAAGTAAATACCTAATATAGTTTTGATTTCAGAACAGTTCCTGTATTTTTAATAATTTTTTAAGAAGGGCTGAAAAATATATATTTTTGATTTATTTTTTAATATCTCTGAAACTATCGAAATATGTTTATTCATATCTTAGGGTTATGTAAAGTGATCTGAAAGGAAGCCAAAAATGCAATAATATACAGGGTGTTCCGTTTAAAAAAAATCATCCAGGTCCACTCACACTTTTTTGAGCCACCCTATAGAAGTTAAAATATTTTCCTGAAATACATCCTGGTACATACTTTAGGTTTGCACTTAAATAAAATTCTCAAGTTTTTTATTCTAGGAGCTACAGATGCTCGACGCACTATTGCCGGACCCTGTATAGCTCAAGCAAAATACCACCAGATTGGCTTAAATCAACATTCGTAACTCTGCCAAAGAAACCCAACGCCTCACAATGTGATGACAATCGGATAATAAGTCTTATGTTCCATGTCCTCAAAACCTTTCTTAGAATCATTCCCACGCGAATCTACAAGAAGTACGGAAGTCAGATGGACAACACCCAGTTTAGCATCAGAAACGGACTCGGAACGCATGAAGCACTCTACACCTTCTTCCTAAATGTAATGAGACAGAGGTGTAGGGACATGAATGTGAATGTATTTGCATGCTTCATAGACTATTGTAAGGCGTTCGACTATGTTAATCATCAGAAGATGATCAAAATTCTAAGAACAACCGGAGTTGACGAACATGACTTACCTTTCATATCAGAACATTATTGGCATCAAACGGCGGTAGTTGAGATGAAGCAGTCAACATCGGAAGATATACAAATCAGACGGGTTGTTCGACAGGGTTGCGTCTTGTCTCCGCTCCTGTTTAGCCTGTACTCGGAGACTATATTTAGAGAAGCACTGGATCGAATCCAGGGCGGAATCAAGTTCAATGGAATCCCAATAAACAATATCAGATATGCCGATGATACGGTTATAATTTGGTTATAATAGCCAACGATATACAAGAACTGCAAAAGGACATCATAGATTCCGTAGTCCACTATAGTGAGATGTTTGGACTGGATCTCAATGTCTCCAAGACTAAACTATTGGTCTTTTCTAAGACTCTAATAAATGCACACCTGCGTGTCAAGGGACAAACAATCGAACAAGTGACCTCAATAAAGTATTTAGGAGCTAACATCAATAGTCAGTGGGACCCGAAAAGAGAAATATTTTCAAGAATTGAGCAAGCGAGAAAAATCTTCGTGAGTATGAAATCATTTTTTACAAGACGAGACCTCAGTGCGGAACTCAGAACTCGAATGGCCAGATGCTACGTCTTCTCTGTGTTACTCTATGGATGTGAGAGCTGGACACTGGATTCACAGACTGAAAAGAGAATAGAAGCCTTCGAAATGTATGTGTACAGACCGATGCTGCGAATCTCATGGGTACAAAGGATTACCAACGATGAAGTACTCCAGCGCATGCAAAAACAAAAAGAGATACTGAATACCATCAAGGAAAGAAAAATGCAATACTTGGGTCATATGATGAGAGGTGATAGATACGAAATACTGCGCCTCATAATAGAGGGCAAAGTGCAAGGGAAAAGATCAGTAGGAAGACTCCAGTACTCATGGCTAAAAGATTTAAGGAGATGGTTTGAACGCTCGTCTGCGGAAATCTTCCGGGCTGCAGTTTCCAGAGCCACAATTGCCATTTGGATCGCCAACCTTCGGCAGGAGAAGGCGTGATAAGAAGAAGAAGAAAAAGTATAAAGCAGTATGTGCAACGGCTATTAAATTGCTTTGAAAAAAAGTTCTCAACCGAGATACCCCCCATTTTAAAACATTGGTTATAGAACAATAAATATTGTTTATTTCGAAATAATAATTTTGGCACTTAACATACATACATATTATTTACTTCAAGTCTTCAATTTTATAATTATGTACGTATTGTATTAGATTCACAGACTTCAAATTTTTAAGTCTGTGAGAATCGTAACAGTAATCGTATACTACATAACTTCATTATTTATCTGATTTATAGCTTAAAACAAATTAATCTTTCATTTTTATCCGATATATGATGGAATTAGGTACAAGGTTAATTCTTTATCATTTAAATATCTTTTAAAATTTTATTGTTAAACATACAGTAATGAAATGATTTTTGTCCTATCAATGACCCCATCATCACATTTTGGACACCTTCCAATATTCAGAAGTCTACAAATTTTCCTTATATAAATATGTACGTTCTAATTTAAAAGTTTGATAACATTTTGTTTAGTCTAATCGTCTAATCAATTAAAACTAGGTACTGTATCTCTCATTATATAATTCCATTTTATTTATTAAAAAATAGTCGAGGTCACATGGAGGTCAACTTTTTATACAGGTATTTTTTTCTGCCAATGCACAAATGCACATCAAGTTTACTTTTTTTTTCGATTATAATACATAGGTATAAGACTATGCTCTCATAATAATATAGATACTAAATAATATAAATATAACTGTAATTAAAAGAATATTAGCAAAATTAACATCATTTCTATTGTATCTGTATAGATAATTTTAGTTATTAAGTATTACTTAATTTTAATTAATGCATAGAAATGCACTTTGATAATAATTTTCATTTATGTTTGACTTTAAATTAATTTTTCAACCTTAAATTACTGATTATTGATTTTGCAATACCAAAATTACATGATAGTACCTAATACCCACGATAATACCAAATCTCTAGATTGGTGGAGAAATTCACATAAGAGGACCACAGAAGAGGATCACAATAGATCTGAAAAGGACGTAGTAGAACAGGCCAATAGCAACCTCAAATATCTATCTACTTAATATTAATGATATTATAATAATAACTAGAGTTGTGTCAACAACTCTCTGCAGATTACGACAGGCGATATCCAAAATGTGACAGAAATACAATTTACTTGTGAATTCAAATGACAGACAACAATTGTCAAGTGTTCTTTCAATGGACAGACTATATGGATATTTTTTGAGCTGAAGTCTCCAATGGGGATGTTACTAAAGATCCTGCATACCAGTCACAAGGAGTTATTGTGGATCAAAGGAAGAATATTAGAAGATAAAAGTATGATTAGAACAGTTCAATAAGTGTCTTGATATGAAGAAATAACCAAAAGAACAGAATGGATATAATATATAATTCATAAAATATTTCAAAAAAGGTAAATTGTAATTTTGAAGTGTTACATTAAATTGGTTAAGTGTTTTTTATATCAGGATAATAAATACTAATATGAAAATATTAAAAATCTACTAATAAACTGTTTTTGATTCAGAGGTAAAAGTTAAGCACCAAATAAGGACATATAGAGGTCAAATCGTTTAATTTAGTCTGGTTAATTACCCTTACAATTCTTATAATATACCAATGCATTTTTTGAATAAGTACTAATTATTATATAAAACATGATATAGCAAAATCATTAGAACAAACTTTCTATACATATATCACCTGTAAGAATGCTGTTATAATTTCATTTCTTTAATTCAAACCTATCCCTTAAAAGAAATGTTTATAAACAAGGGAAATAATAAATACCCATAATAATAAAAAAATACAATTGATATATGGGCTATGGAATAACTTGCATAGAGTACAATAAAAAAATGCTATATCAATTTCTGAAACTTGCTACTACAAGAAATAAGCATTTAAAACATAATTAAATCATATTTAATGGTAGGTTAATGATTGTATTTGATTATGATAAATGAACATATCGTTTCTATCACGTAATCATACAAATTACACAAGAAACCCCTCGATTTATTCAATATTCTCTGTATCTATTTAATTTAAAATAAATTTAACTATAAATAAAAATAGTACTTACGTGCTTTTATTGTTTTAATTTGCACTAAACAATTTACACCCTAACTAAACCGGGGTAGATTTTGAACTGAAATTTTTAAAGGACGTTTAGAGGACGATTCAGTCAAATTGTCAATCGGCGTTAAGAAAAGACGTGCGGTTCCTCGTCTTATTCACTTTTATACACAGATATTACGGAAATGGAATTTCGTACATTACGTGTCATTTGTCAAGGAATATTTTCTCGGAATTGTGTTTCGCAAAAATCGACTTTATGGTAAGTGATTGTTAAGTTGACATTGGCAGATTTCAAAAACTTGCACAAGTTTATGAAAAAAGAAAATGAATAGTAGTGCCATCTATCGATGGAAGCCAGTATCTCGACAAATCTCCTAACAGGAAACTACGGAGAAACCTCAATTGAACAAACAGGAATCTATTTGAATTAAAAGATATTCGCGCTGTATTTAAAACGATCTTGCATATATCACATAATATTATCTAACGTATTTCTCTATAAAATTGTTGTCAATCATTATATAAGACCTAATATTTTTATTTGGAACTTAATCTTTAAAAAATTAATCTTCTTTTTAGCTGAACAAATTAGGCAAAGAAAATCAAGTCCTCCTAATCTGGGTGCCCACCGAGGGAAAAAAGGTAATGAAAAAGTAAACTATTTAGCTAGAAAAGGAGCGAACACTCCACTAACTCGACCAAAACCAGCGGCAAAATTGATGCGGGTGATGCGTCGCATCCAGTCAAAATATTGTTATACGTTTTTATTTAAAAAAGTTACTGAGATCTCTTATAAGCTTTTGGTGCATTTCAGTTAAATTCAACAAATTCCGACCGCAGCGCTTCAACGGCAAAAATCTGAAATTATCAGTAGCCGCCATCATTTGATCGCATTAAAATAATATCGAAATCGTGGTTTTGTCATAATATTTAAGTATTTTAGTTTTTTGCTAGTGCAATTATTCAGACTATAAACCACTCAGGTACGAGGTCTGTGTGATGTAACGCTGTTTCGAGTAGTAAAAAATAAAAGTGAAAAGAATTCGAACCCATACAGCCCATCAAATCACATTTACGATGTGTTTACATTATTAGATGTAGACACAGGGTGACACAATTCCCCCGATGTAAATATGCTACGTTTACACATTGTAGTTCAACACGTATGCACAAAGGTTAAACGTCCGCCTCACACAATGTAGCCACAGTATAGCATTTACGTATACACAAAGGGATACGGATACACAGTGTGCCGTAGGATACACAGTGCTTGTGTATTACGTTTAAACTATGTTTACACATTGCAGTTGTGACTACCGCGTATATACGTATGTATTTTGCTTCGTATATACATCTTGCGCTAGATAAAACTACTTCTTATGAACGAATTTAGGAAATAATACAAGTTTTGATGCCTAACTTTTCGTTCTTTTTAAGAAATATGTATTCAATGATACCAATTATATCTTTTTAGAACGAAAATTAGGAAGGCAAAACTTTGTATTTTCCAAAAGTATCTCGATCGTAAGTTCAAGAGAAGTAGCCTTAAAATTGTTCCATTTTTGTTTTGTATTAAATGTACCATTTTTCTTCCATAAAATGGATTAAGTGGTTAAAAAATAAAATTCTTATATTTCTTTATATCATGGAACGCAATAGCGCAAATAACACAATAATAATAATTATTTACACTGTAGAAACCAGAAGTAAGAAAACACTGTAAAAGAACAGAATTTGTATCAAAATGTATTAAAAATATAAGTACCTAGTATAACAACATACTAAAATGGTAAACACTGGTATATCGCCACGATTTGGTGGACCTCGTTTAGTCATTTTTTCAGGTTTTTTCTCCTCTTTTCCCTACAAGCAGTTGGTTTATTAGCATACTCATTCATCGAGCACTCTGTTGGACTTTGTTGTATTTTATTTCCAGATTAACAATCTCACCCTTAAATATTATATGAAACTGATTATTGAATATTAAACATATCTGTATATTGATCCATCAATAACTTACTTTAGTGTAAGAAGTTCTTTGAAATGTTTAAATCTTTTTTTCTCTGGTCCATTTATATTTTTATTATTTCCAAATTAAAAAAATATATATTGCACTTATTGCAGAGCTAACTCAGCTAACCTCTTTATTATTATACGAGAATATTTGGAGTTTTCATTCATTGGAGTCAAAATTTGGTAAATTGGGTATCGATCAAGGGAAGAGTCGCTGCTATAATATTAATAATACTCTTAGGAAGGTGTAACAAGGTAATTAAAAACTTGTACTTACCTTAAAATCTCTTTTAAACTACACACAAACAGAACATTCATATAGAGCTTCCGAATGATAAAACAATAATGGCTGCTAAACACACATCACTCCTAGAAAGGAGGAAGGAGAGAGGACACATAAGATACACTTGGTCGGTGTATCTACGCTGAGGCTATCCGCGCATGCGCACACCTTCATGCAGTACACTATTACAAAGTGTCTATATAGATATTTATATTATGTGTATACGTCACATTTTTACAAGGTGTGTACTATAGGCACAACTATGATACGAAGTATTACACATACATATGACTTATACATTGTATGTCTCATATACGTCAGATTTCATCATTTTAATAATTATTTGTTACGTTACAAAAAACTCTTTAGAATCTTGAGTGCATACGGTATACAACTAGTAAACACTGTATCACACAATTCTATCAATATAAACCTGCGTGTATCTCATATGTATATGTTAGAACTAGATGAACACTTAGGTTCACTTTAACATATGTTGTTTCTCATGTGTCTCCCTTGTAGAAACGTAATTTCATTTGGACGTGCTATATGGGAACTAGGCGTTCGTGTTGTGTTGTGACAATTTCAAATGTTAATAAAATTGCCGAAAAAATGTTGACGCGTAAAGGAGAGCGTGATGAGGGCGTTGTTGGGTGCAACAACATTCAATAACTCAACTTTCCCGATATTCAACTCTCCCGAAACAACATTTTATAGATTCATAGTTTTTCACACCGATTTGATCAAAAGCAAAAATGGATTCAAGCAGTTCGACGAAACAAGTGAGTAAACAAAGTGCTCGTTACATAATCAAAAAATTAAATAGAAATATACTATGAGAGGTGAGATGATAAAATATAATTTGCAATATTAATGGTAGGTATACTTTTTTAATCAACTAGCGATTAAATGTTTTATGAACATCTTCTAACATTATAATTATGTACCTTTAAAAAAATTCGTTATAGCCGAAATAGCTCCAATTATACCTCACTAGCAAAACCGGTGATAAAAAACTATTCTCGCTACCGTTGAACTCGTCTAAAATAATTTTTTAACTGGAATAATAAATTATAATGGAAGTTATAGACCTTCTGAAGATATCAAAATATTTACCTTTTTATTTTTTTGCTTAGAATTTCCACAAATTATACTTTCTAACACTTTTAGAATAATTATATTACTTGCCATTTAAACCCGTGTATTTGTATGTATTCGTTATTTACGATATTCTCCGGCGGTGGCAGCACCGGCGGAGAATACCAAGCCTATACTAAATTAAAATCGTTTATTCGTCGTTTTAATGAAAATGTTTATAAAAGTAAACCTTGGTTATGTGGTTGTAAGTTGTAGGGCACTGAATAAACTTTTTTGTTGGCCTTCACTATTTTATGTAACAGATACGTTCACAGCTTTGTTTTTTCCTAAATTTAGTTTCTTTTTTAAATTGGTTTGATAATTTTTTTAACCTGTTACATTTTTGCATATTTGATTTTTGTAACTTCAAAATTAAAGACTTTAATAAAAAAAAAGAAAAAAACTTTATTGTGTTGGTACTACTTATTATTACATCTCCTTGTATTGACGTCACGCTACGCCGCTGGTCACCCGATATATAAATATTGAATTTTCCGATAATTCTTATCTATCGTTAACCATTTCATTTTGACAACAAACTTTATAGCTTCCAGATGAGTACTGTTATTGTTAAACTAATTTAACTAACAATCATAAAACCACTGGGATTCCGAAGTCATTTTTGCATTCCCATTTCTCGATGAAAAATGGTACTGATAAACCGGTAGGTACCATCATCGTGTCGTGAACTCACAGTAAAAGCGCGACTTGTTCAGTGCGAGCCGGTGTCTTTCTACAGACAGACGGGTTACGCGGGTACTATCATAAGGTACTATCGAAGTCGAAATATCCACGATTAAAGAAACATTCGTGAAAGTGCTTATTTATGTTATGCCTATAGTCGTTTAAGGTACTACAACACAATCATATTTCTTTAATTTTTCCTTTTTTACATAGGGTTTTAACAGAAACGTTTAAATAAAAGATGGTTTTAAACATCGATATAGTTTTTTAACACTAGGATAAAACAAAGCTTTGGAAAGCAGGTATAAGAAAATCAAAACAAAAATAGTTTCAGTCAAAGTTAGTCTACCTGATGGAAAATATTAACACATTAGAGATTAATGTTGGATTCTTTGTTTAAAGCTATTCTATTTATGTATTTAAATTACTTACAGTATTGTACTTTTTTTTAAATAAGATTAAGTTATAAAAATTATATTAGTACCATTGACCAAAAAGTCTTATAATCAAAGAAGCTTTGTATGATGACGGATAATCAGTTATTATGGGAAATTACATTAGAATTTCTTGAACTATCAAAGTCTAAGTACAGTACTTTTACTTCTTTCATATTTCATATAGGCACTGCAATAATAATTGTTAATATTATTACTAATAGTGTACTTAATATTACTACTAAAGAAGAGTTTATTGTATTTGTTTATATTTTTTGTAGAGAAAGTTTAAGATAATTTTATAGAATTTATTTTGGTTCTATTATTTATTCTTATATTTTAATATAATTTTTAGTTTTTTTTGAGAAATCTTAAATTGTCGCGATAAATTATGTTTTTTGAGTCAATACCCGTAAACATATACAATATACAGGGTCCGGCAATAGTGCGTCGGGCATCCGTAGCTCTTAGAATGAAAACTTGGTCATTTTGTTTAAGTGCATGCCTAAAGTATGTACAATTGCGATCAAAAAAAAAAGTAGTACAACAAAATATGATTTAATCTGCTGGTCTATAATAAAATATTTTTAAAAGGTAGGAAAATTTTTTATACTTTTATTTCGCCACGTATACCAATTATTACCAAATTCATGGTAACGCTTAAAAAGTTAGGTGGCATAATTGTATTGTTTTCATAGTGACGACGATAACCACTTCTCGATATCCTTATAGACAAGGAGTTCTATCTGAGACTACTAATTCTTGTACTACTTTTTTCTTATCGCAATGGTACCTATATATAGAGTGTATACCTTCTATAGAGTGGCTCAAAAAAGTGTAAGTTGATCGGGATTACTTTTTTAAATGGAACACCCTGTATATTATTGCATTTTTGGCTTCTTTTCAGATCACGTTCCATAATCCTAAGATATGAGTAAATATATTTCGATAGTTTCAGAGATATTAATAAATAAATAAAAAATAATACTTTTCAGCTTTTCTTAAAAAAAATATTGAAAATACAAGAACTGTCCTGAAATCAAAACTATGTATATTATGGTCTGTACTTTACTTTGCTATAAATATGGTAATCGTAAATCATACAGGATGTTTACAATTCTACGCCAAACTTTCTAAAATATAAAATGATTTTGCTTCGTTTTTTTTAAATATTAACATTTTTTTGTATTTAGATTTAGAGTAACTCAAAATTGTTAACGGTTTCGCAGATAATCGCGGTTTTATATCTCATATGGCATTTTCCACAGTAAAGTTTTATCAAAGCCACCCAATGATTTTTCTCTCGTATTTTACAAATCAATTGGACTGTCAGTATGTCAATATTCCATGGGTACATTGATAAATGAGGTCTAAATTATAAGAAAATGCGAAAATTCTGCGAAAACTTGAAGAGATAAAATAAAAATGGTATAATACAATTTGATAGACAATTAAAATACATTTTTAGACACTCTGTATAAGGTAGTATTATTTTTATTATTGCCACACAATATCTGATCAATAAATAAACTTTGGTAAATATTTAGTATTAAAAACCATGGAGAAATAAAGCCTTAAAATTTTTACTGCAATTTCACAAAATTGAAAATATTTCAAAAACGGTAGGTAAGGTTTAAGTGTGAAAAATGGATAAACTTTAATCAAATATACGTTTATTTCAATCGTAGAATCTAAAAATAGAATAATACAGAGGGTGTTCCATTTAAAAAAATATGATAATATTTTGTAATAATACTATAATAATTAATATAATTAATAAACTATAATATTTTTTGTTTATTTGGGACACTCTGTATCTTATCCACAAAATATCAAGACACAACCGTTACACAACTTTTAATCGGCACCGTAAAACGGGGCTACTTCGGACAGTTTTTGAGGTTTTTTGTAAGTTTCTTGACCTAAGTGTGTTCAAATTCAACCAATATTTTTTGTGTGGGTTACTACATCCTTCCCCTATGTCTAACTAAAAAAAATGTTAAACTTTCTTTTTCTGACGTACCTATATATTTTTTTGTTTGAAAAGTGTCCGAAGTTATCCCCATAGGTGGGGTAACTTCAGACATGCCTTTAAAAATGTGTAAATTTGATCTTATACCAGTTAAAAGGAAACTTCGGACAAAAATATAAGTTTTCAAAAAAAATCAAGTTCATTTTTTAATAAAAACTCAAAAAATTAATAACTTCAAACACTATTTAAGACATTTTTATTAAAAAAGATTGATTGATAAAAATATCAGTCAACAATTTTGCCTCTTCCTCGATACTCAGCACTGGTTGCCGTCCTGGATTCTTATCATGAATCCCCTTAACTTTATCCCCAATTATGGATTTGGGAATCCTATAATACTCAGCCGCCCCCCTTAAGGTTTTTCGCTTGGCTTTGACATTTGCTACTGCTTACTGTAACCTCTCGGGTGAATAATTTTGGTAGGGGCAACTCCTCAGTTGCTTTTTGTAACTTCGAACCATGTCCGAAGTTAGCCTTCAAAATATGATTTTTTTGCTTACGACCATCTGGAAAAAAATTGAACGATTAAAAATCTTCAAATTACATAAAACATTTTCAGATAATATACCTATATACTGAATACTGGAACAAGTACGACTTTATGAATAATAGGTTTAGTTGTATGGCAGTTACTTTTTCCACTTTAAGAAAACAACAAAAATTGCATACTTACAAAAATTGGCGTAAAAAATACGCCAGGCCCGAGAAACACTCGGTACTTAAGAAACGTCTGAAGCACAAAACATATACACAAGGAGAAGTGTTAGCGCCTTGCTAAATATTGGAAAGTGAAATTGACGTTTAAATTTGACACTGTTACAAGTCTACTGCTACTAGCGCCCCCAATATCGCTTGTAGGAACTACGGACTAGAATGTCACGCATGGCGGGAAGTTTAAAAAATAAAAAAATTTAATTCTTCATTTATTTTTAATTATGACATACATAAAAACACAAAAAATACACCATTTTTTTAAAATATGTTTAATATCAATATCAAATATATAACAGAAATTAATTTCACCACAATAAATTAATAAAATTAAAAGAATAATGTTACAAGTAGATCAAGAGACAAAATTAATTATAATAAAACTGAAAAAAAAATGGCGTCTCAGATGGCTTAGAAATGAAGATATATATCGTAATTTTGAAAGTAAAATTATATGGGAAATGTCATCGATCATCATTTTTAAGCCAACTGGACGATTATTTCAAACATACAAGCTGAGTTCGTTCATAGTGCTCTGAGAAATCTAGATGAACAAATAATAAATTAAAAGTATTCCAGGGGAAAAGAGAGGAAAAACCTGTATCGTCTCTGATATCTGTCAAAGTATTGTTGAAGGTGTCATCTTTTTGCTCGAAGTTTTCAGGTCGATCAAAAAGATGACATTTACAACAATACTTTGCCGTAACTTTCACAAATATCAGAGAGAGTACAGGTATTGCCTCTCTTTTCCTCTGGGATGCTTTATATCTGTTGTTCTTTGTTTATCTATATTTCTCAGAGCATAATGCCGAACACGACTACAGTATATAATAATTTCAATATCCTAAGTGGAAAGAAAAAAGATCACCTTTCTGTTTTGTATTATGGTCCCTTTGTTCCGATGGCTCATCTCGTTGATATTTAGGAAGGTATCCATAAAATATACATTTTACTATCGGTCCTGGGATGAAAAAAATATAAAATTCAATTTGATTTGATGATCCTTTTCTGTCACCTAAATCAGGAGAATGACAATGAGCATGTTAAGACGAAAAAAAAAATATTTAACAACACTTACCTACACGTTAGTCCGAGGAGTTTTATCAAAAAACTATATTTGCCTAAGTAATTTATGTATTCTTTGCAAAGCAAACTGCAGCGTGTAAACAAAACAAATAAAATGGCGACAAGTCAACGTCAACGACCCGACATGGCCCCGACAAGGAGAAAAGTGGTGTTCGAATATCAAATTATGGGTCACCAAAAATTGTTTTTGTCTCCTTTCAACGCACACTTTAGAAAGAAAAAGAGATGAACTGTAATACTGAAAGAACGTCAAGGTTTTATCTGTCACTCTTGTCAATAATTTATCGGTAAGGAAGATTCCTAGAAAATCGCTTGTAGTCAAGTTTTGAACCATTGCCAATTCTCCCGTAAGAAGTGTCATCCACCTGGTCTGAGGGCACCTGTTTTAAACACGTTCCAGTCCACACGCGGCCGCTTTGATGATTTCGCTACCCCCCTCAATTTTTTTCTCTTTCAAGGACCCGTTGTCCCAATTTACCCGTGCTGTACGAAGTAGCCCCGGTTAACGGCATTAAACGACTTTGCTTTGATCGTCGTTCACAGTTGATCTGTCGGTGAACTTCGTTGGTACAACCGGGCCTTACACAATTTTACTAACAAGAGAAAAAAAGTCAGTGGCGCACATGTTTTTTTTTGAGAAAATATTGACGTGAGAACCCATAGCCACGTCCATGGTGAATATGTCGACACTTTTTTACTACTAAAATATGTAACAATAGTAACTTTTACCCTCAAAATTTTATTCGAATCGCTAAAAGTACTTGTAAGAAAATTATAATAAGTAAAAAAATTAAGACTTTAACACCCCGTAGCTACGAAACAAAGCATAATCGGACCTATATTGATATGGAAAATAAATCTTATTTTTACGCGAGGAATCTCCCGACGGGAGATGACACATATTTTTTGAAACACCATGTATTTATCTACAGCCATCTTGCACAATCTCAGTCCAAACTTCAAATTAAGGGTATTCCCGTTCTATAAATCATAATAATTAATTCATATCTTTTTCAGATCGCAACAATAAATCAATACATCTAGTCGTTATAAAAGGAAACAGATTGAACTGTGTCCTCACACAGGTGGGGAAATACCGGCTAAAATTCCTCTACGTTATGGACTTCTTAAAAGCTCGCGTTTAAAGGAACAACAACTCGACCTTTGAACAAGAAACATGCAGGTAAGAGATTTATACGCGTGGGCAAGGTTCAAGTCCGAATCTACGATCAAAGGTATCTAAAAAATAACAAATTTGAAGCGCTTGATAGATGATTTGATACGCCCAAACAGACTCCTCTGACCTATTGTTTTGCAGTTCTTTCACTTCAAAAAGTTGCGAAATCTCGTGAAACTTTGTAGTTTTCTTCATTTTCCAATTAGGACGGCAATCTCCTAACTCATTCAAAGTACTTTATACTTACGTTCATTGAAAGTAGGGATGTTCGGTCTTAAGATTTCAGTCGGTCCCACCACCGGTATACCGGTTCCAACCCGGCTGGACCGGCAGACCGGTTGGACATGATGGACCGGAAAACTGGACACACCGGAATCTCGGAAAGACCGTTTTGCCAGTGAGCATAATATGACCTCATGATATCTTATTAAAAAATGTAAATAGAATGTTCTCGTGCCTGTAAAGTAAAGTAAATATGGCAACGTAATAAATACGGTATTTTGAGGGATAAATTAGATTTCTCGGAATATATCGTAAATCTATCCGTTACCGTTATAACATTATTGATCTAACTTAAGATTCTCACCGTTTATGTTCACATTTCCGGCATATTCTTGTTTTCTTGTCCGACTTTCCCTTTACTTATGAAAAATGGAAAAAGTACTGGAAGTTGCTCTTCTTGGAGATATAAATGGAGCGGAAATAAAGTAAAGAAAGTAAAGATTTCAGTTAACGTCTCCTTTTTGCTGCCAGGGCTAATCTTGACGGGGCCTACTTTGTTTACGCGGAATCCGAACCGCGGTCCTCGGCCATATCATGGTCAGTGGCCAACCGATTTAGGAAGTGTCTAAATTAACTCTTACTCACAAGATATCAGATCTCATCCGGCCTCGAACCGGCGTGAATGAGCAGTGTGTATCAATAGGTTTTACACTTTTCTCGTGAACAACAGCGTTTCGAACCGGTCACCCGTCCATCCACCAGTATCGCCTTACGTCGCTTAACTTCGGTGTTCTAATGGGAACCGGTGTTTTAACGTAGCTAGGCCGTTGCCCCTAAGGAGCAGAAATAAGATGCTATTTTACATATTTTAAATAATAGAGTAGACACTATTGAATATCGGCCTGAGTTTTAAGGATATTTTAATTAACTTCGGTGTTCTAATGGGAACCGGTGTTTTAACGTAGCTAGGCCGTTACCCCTAAGGAGCGGAAATAAGATGTTATTTTACATATTTTAAATAATAGAGTAGACACTATTGAATATCGGCCTGAGTTTTAAGGATATTTTAATTTATATAATATACATGAGTGATCCATGAGTAAGATGCTTTACTTGTATTTTTGGTGTACTAAAAAAAATTGACGCCGGGAGGCACGTATAGCCGCCCATACTAAAATATGTTAATAAAAAGTTGGTAGCCAGTTCGTTTAGTTCCAAAGTAAAGGAATTTTTCCAATTTTTTTTTATCTCAAAAACTGCGACTTTGACTGATTTTGATGTTATTACAAATTTTGTTGCAAATATTATTCCTAATCTTAAATTGAAAACCGCGTTTCGCTAGGTACTGTAATTTTAGAGTTACGATTTTTTTTTAATTTTTAACCCCCTCCGATACTCCCTTACCAACCCCCACCCTTACCAAAAACTAATGGCCAGATTCTCAGGTGCCACAGTATTTTTGTGCCAAATTTGGTTAAAATCGGTTTAGCGGTTTTTGAGTTATCGTGTTACAGACGGACAGACAGACGGACAGACAGACAGACAGACACAATGAAAATATTTTGTATTTAGGTCATTTATGACTCAAGTAACTCATTTTGAGTGAAATTAAAAAAACTTTTTTTGCCGATCTTAATAGCCTACCATACCTGTTGGTATGGTCGGCTAAAAAAAGACTAGATTAAGAAGATTAAGACCAAACTAGACTAGCAATGCCTTAAACATACGTTGAAATAAATTTACATTGCATGTTCCTGACCGTATTATACCGAATGATCGAAAAAAAGGCGCCCAGTTGGCTTGGAAATGAACATCGATACATTCCCATTCATTTTTGTCCAGAGATATTCCTAATTTTTTGGTAACTGATGTGTACGATAATATCATATAATTAAAATTTTAAAATAATAATATTATAAATGGTCTATCGTGAAAGATCTTTATCAACAAATTAGTATTTCATATGCTATAAATATCTGATGACTTATAATTTTGGATAATAATATAGTACCATGATGTAGGTACTGTTCAATATTTCATCAATTGAAAACTCATGTTATGATATTCCTAAACTAATTACGTTCTTTTCTTTTATAAAAAAAAATAATTATACTCTGCCATCAGTAATTGAACGCTTAAGGTCTATTCACACGCGTCAGTCACATCTTTCACACAGTTCCGTTACCGTACCGTCTCAGTCTCATTCCGTCAACATCTATGAGGGCTATACTAGGGTTGCCAACTGTCCTCTATTCCAGAGGACAGTCCTCTTTTTGATCATACCGTCCTCTTATCTCTCTCGTATTGAAAAAGTTCTTTTTTTATACACCAAACTCAAGATCTAAAAATAATGCTTAATAAAATTGATAATCTGGGAACTATATAGTTGATATCAATTAACATTTTAGTACCAAATGTACTAAAAGTTTTTCTTCTTCTAAAGACAATCCGGGGACATACTGTATAAAGAGTATGAATCTGATTGGTATGACTAACTTATCGAAATAATTAATGATTTATGAAAAATTATATGTCTACGAGTTCGTTCAGTGAAAAACAATTTCATTAATCACTATTTTTTCTACAATATGTATGTTCACAAAATGAATAGGTACTAGCGATAATTTATACTTCGTTTTTTTCTATAGTTTTACTTAGAACTAGTCTAAGTAAATAATTGAATTTCAAAAACTTATTTTGTTCAAAGTGACGAACCAAACCAAACCAAATAATACTGCAAAATATAATATAAAGGCGAACAATGCACACTAAAAAATATCAATATAAAAATACGTTTTTATTTCACGAATAGGATGTAAAGTTTTATAAGTAAATAACAAATTTTATATGGTCTTTTAATAAGGTGCGAACAATACAACTGCATCAAACTACGCATATTTCTTTAGATAAATACAGGGCCAATATAGCAACGGATGAATCTGATAGTTTGCTACATAATATATAGACCTTATTTAAAAGAAAGGAGGTAAAAACTTTTAAACATCAGAAATATCTGGGCTAGGTTTATGCAAGGTTGGGCTAGGTTTAGACAAGAAACAAAGCAGCTCCATTTTGTTTTCACCAAAAAAAGGAAAAGAGTAGAGCGGGCAATATTTCCAATGTTACCGATCTTGCGGTAATATTACGTAATATTACCAAAATTACCGGTAAATAAACCCTTTACATCACTAGATAAGAGTATTTGGGCCGACGACTAAATACTCCGAACCAATGGGCACCTATCCCAAAGTCTTTTAGGCAAAAATCTACGCTATCGAAAGATGCATACAACTTATCTTAGATACTTAGGAACTATCGGCAACAAGAAATAGACATTTTATCCGATACTCAAGCAGCCTTCTTCTTTTTATAGCACCATCTTCTAATGAAGGTCGGCAACAATCGCTGCGAAACACTGTCTGTCCTGTGCAATTGAAACAATTTGTGTGAGTTCAGTCCAGTCCAGTCTCGTAAGTTTCTCAACCAAGAGTGATTGCGTCTCCCAAGTCCTCTTCTGCCTTCTACCTTTCCTTCTATAATCAACTTCAGAAGCTTTGCTCCGCTATTGCGCATGACCTGGCTCAGGTATGCTGTCTTTCGTTTTTTTTATATTTGCAAGTAATTCCCTTTCCTTGTTAAGCCTCCCAAGAACCTCTTCATTGCGTACATGATCTGTACAGGATATTTTCAAGAGTCTGCTATAAGCAGTCTTAAGAGCGATCAACTCAGTAACCATCAATTCGAAGTTGGTCATAGAATGCCTAGAGGAGCTGAACGAGCTGAACAAATTAGGCCAAGAAAATAAAGTTCTGCTTTGGACGCCAACCCACCAAGGGATAGAAGGTAATGAAAAAGCAAACGATCTAGCTAGAAAAGGAACAAAACACTCCGCTAACTGGACCAGAACCGTTTTTCTTCAAGAACCTCTTCATTGCGTACATGATCTGTCCAGGATATTTTCAAGAGTCTGCTATAAGCAGTCTTAAGAGCGATTAACTCAGTAACCATCAATTCGAAGTTGGTCAAAGAATGCCTAGAGGAGCTGAACGAGCTGAACAAATCAGGCGAAGAAAATAAAGTTCTGCTTTGGACGCCAACCCACCAAGGGATAGAAGGTAATGAAAAAGCAAACGATCTAGCTAGAAAAGGAACAAAACACTCCGCTAACTGGACCAGAACCGTTTTTCTTCTCAAGTGTAAACCCATCTTAAACAGAACTCAAGAACCTGGAAGTCTCCATCTGTAACCTAGAATGGAAATCCTCCAACGGTCTAAGACACTCGAAGAAATTTCTCACGTCTTACCACCGAGAAAAATCGAAGATTTACCTTAAGTAAAAAGTACTACCTTTTACTACCTTAAGTACTACCTTTACTACCTTAAGTACTACCATTAAGTAAAAAAATCTTCTGATTGTCACGGGGGTTTTAACAAGACACTGTCTCCTCAATGTACACCTCAGTAGATTGAAGCTAAGAAACAACAGCGAATTTAGATTCTGTGGGGAAAATGGGGAAACACCAGAACTTGACTGATAACGGAGATGGAGAACTAACCTCTGTAAAACCGTTTCAGATACTGGCTTTAAATAACTCAAAACTGGCTTTTTGTAACTCAAAAATGGGGGGGCACATTCATATCGTTCTCCTAGGGGAGTCCGAGTTAAATGAGAGGTTCTACCCTGTATATTATGTATTTATAAATATAAAAAAATCTAAATATAACTTACATTCCCTGGTGCTTTATATAAAAGGCTTTTTTATCCTTCAGTTTCCGAATTTCCT